AGTGAGGAGTCTGAAACAAAGCTCCCTCTTTAGGCCTTTCTTCTTCCTCACTTTAGGAAATAAAATGGTTTTCTGAACGCGTCACATGTGCCACAGGTCATGTGGTTGTGTTACTCTTTGTGTGTGTGGTGTGTGGTGGCCCAGTGGAGCGCAGACAGGAGGTGTAGCTGAGCGATAAGAGCATGTGTCTGCAGCTGTGTAAACTCTGGACAGCAGGGACTGAATCAAAGGTTTTACTCTGTGATGTGATGTTCCTCCATCAGTAATAAAGGATTGTGTTACTGAATAGACGTGTGTGAAGCTGCACAGCCACATTTCCTAGTTCTGACAGGCCTCACAGCTTAATTTTGCACCGTTTCATGACACATCTCTGATCTGGTGCTTTTGGTTGAGTTTCCTTCCTGTTTTAGTCTCACACCAAGATTCAGTTTTTAATTAGCTCACCTGCATCTTTGCCTTTTGTTGTGCTTTATGTCACAAAGTGTTACGATATGCTACATTGTGAGTTAGACAATATATACTGTGTAAAGTTTTTCCACTCAGTCGACAGAGTTTGGTAAACCCTCCTACTGTTTCCTGACCTGAAGCTTGTCCTCTGCACCTCTGTTTCCTGGTTTTCAGTCATTTTAGTTATTTTAAAACCAGCCCAGGACATTTTGTTCAAAGGAACAACAGAGCACCTTCTATTGAATGTTTTTAATTTTATGTAAATTAGGAATAAAAATGATCATCTATGGTGTGTCAGTTTCCCACTGAGGACACAAACAGAGCATCACTGAAGGATGCAGAAACCAGAACTGAATAAAACACAAACGGCTTTTTTTTTTTATCTATACATACATTTCAACAAATAAACCCAGACAGGTTTATAAAAATGCGGTAAAAACTTTGACCTTTTGCTTTAAGTTTTGATAACCTTTACAAATAAGTCACAGTAGATTCCTTGTGCTTCTTATCGGGAGTCAAAGTTTATCGTTGTTATTCTTCAGTGGCAGCTACAGTCAGACCTCATTGTCCCTGCTGGTGTCCTGCCAACTCTTTCTGTTTTTCTTCTGCTTTAATAATTACACAGACTGTGTGTGAGAGCGTCTGATAAAGGCAGGAAGTAGGAAAGGCAGCTCAGGTCTTGATAAGATGTCGGCGGTTAGCTCCAAGAATGCCTGAACCTTTCAGAGTACAATGTGACGGGAAAGTGTTCGCAGACTGATCATTTCCTCTTCATAATGTTTAACTGGTCTGTGTGGCCTCAGGTCAGAGTGTCTCTGAAGTCTTCAACAACCTGACTCAACAACAGGCGTCTGCACGGTGTCGGTCAGCTAATGAAGACATGTTGGAGACATGTTGGAGACATGTGTCAAACATGTTTGACACATATCTCCAACATGTCTGAGACATGTCTCCAACATGTCTGAGACATGTTTGAAACATGTCTCCAACATGTCTCCAACATGTCTGAGACATGTCTCCAACATGTCTCAAACATGTCTCAGACATGTTTGACACATATCTCCGACATGTCTGAGACATGTCTCCAACATGTCTCCAACATGTCTGAGACATGTCTCCAACATGTCTCAAACATGTTTGAAACATGTCTCCAACATGTCTCAAACATGTTTGAAACATGTCTCCAACATGTCTCAAACATGTTTGAAACATGTCTCCAACATGTCTGAGACATGTCTCCAACATGTTTGAGAGATGTCTCCAACATGTCTCAAACATGTTTGACACATGTCTCCAACATGTCTGAGACTTGTCTCCAACATGTCTGAGACATGTGTCAAACATGTTTGAAACATGTCTCCAACATGTCTCCAACATGTCTCAATGTTTGAGACATGTCTCCAACATGTCTCCAACATCACACTCTAAATGCACGTAGAGAAAAAGTGGTCAAATGTGTCAAAAGCAGGTGATTTACCTGGTCATACCTTGACTGAGGAGGGCGGACGGGTTAGCTGATTCAACCTGAAAACAGATGAAATGTTTGTTAAAAACAACTCCAACTCTGAAAGTGCTTTGATAATCTAATAAACTCACAGCACAGATAGATATAGATTTTTCACAATGAAACACAGTAAACACACGACATTTTAAAACAAAAATATGTAAAATTGTCAGGAGAAAAAAGATAATTTTGAATTTTATGGTAGCAACATATCTTAAAGGGATCCATGATTAGTTGTAACATTAGACTTTATTTGATAAAATATATTTTA